TGTGTGTGTGTGTGTGTGTGTGTGTGTGTGTGTGTGTGTGTGTGTGTAAATGTTAGGAATGTAATAGTAAGGCTTTCCCTGACCTGGCTTCTTTGTCTGAATTTAGCCGTGTATTCTGGAGGAAGCCACTTAACCTCCCTGCTTCCCAGTTTTTGATAGAATGAGCAGTAAGCTACCTGATCTGAGAGTTGTTCCCTCTTATCTCCCTAGGTGTTTAGGGTCCCTTTACCATGAACATCCTGCTGTAAGCTTGCCTGATCTGAAAGTTGTTCCCTCTTATCTCCCTCTACCATGAGCATCTTGCTGTAAAGCCCCTGTTGCTCCTGGACGTAGGAACAGCTAGGGACCAGTGGTGAGGGTCTGTCCATTGAATTGAAATGAGCTTTTAGGGCATAGAGCTTCTATGTCATTCTTGCGTTTGTCAGGTTCTAGGTACTTGGAACCTGGTGACACCATAAATGTCAGCATATTTTGTGGAAGCCTTTTTTGGGACTACAGCATTACTTAAATCTTAGGCCCTGTGGTTCCAGTCACTAGGTAGATGTTTTTTTCCCCGAGGGATATCTATAAAAATTAATTATGGAAGGCCACAGTTTCTGGAATCTTGTGGTTCAATAATGGCTCATTTTCTCATATAATTGTGATAATAAGTATTTGAAGGTCAGAGTATATTTGAGACCGCTTCACTGATAGAAGCTTATAACAAGGAGGGAAAGCAATGACTTCTTAACATTCCTGACCAGATTATTGTGCTTTATGCTCTCACTCTCTCTCTTCCAGTCAGTCTCTCTCCCTTTCTTTTTTCAGTTCTCTCTTCTCTCTTTTTCTTTCTCTTCCCTCTCCCCATCTCCTTTTTTGAGGCAGTGTCATGAGTTGTCTTAGAGTTCACTATATAGATCAGACTGTCCTAGAACTCAGAGAGACCTGCCTGCCTCTTCCTTTGCCTCTTAAATTTCTCTTTTTAAAAATTGAACTGAAGTGGGTAAGTAGTGAAAAGATGGATATTAAATGAGTATATACTTGTTATGAAGTGTATTTCCATGTGGCACATAGTAATGTTTATTTTTCTTTTACTTGTAGTAATGAATGTTATAACAATTGAAGATTATAAGAGCACATACTGGCCAAAATTAGATGGTGCCATAGACCAACTTTTAACCCAGAGTCCTGGTGACTATATACCTATATCCTATGAACAGATTTACAGGTAAGTCACCATTTAAATTTTCTGAATTTGATGTGATATATAAAGTATGTAAGATGAATTTGGGTGTATATATTCTCTACGCTGGTGTATTGGAGGTTTGGTTTGTAAGTGGTTAGCAAATCAAGACACTGTTAACTTCCTCCTCTGCTTGCTTGCTTGCCTGCCTCTGTCATATACAGTGAAAAACCTCTGTGGCCAGTGAGAAAAATTTTTATTTGCTGTAAAAATACATGGTTTTTAGGGAGATCCTTGTTAGCCCTGTTGATGCATACTGACATGCAGTTCTAATTCTCTTTGGTATTTTGTTACCTAGCTTTTGGTAAAAGGAAAGCAGCAGATTAGGAACTGGGTTGGGAAATGAGATCAGCTGAAGAGTGTCAGGAAGAGGTGACAGCTATGTTGTTCCCCACCAAGGAGATGCATTGCAAACATCCTTGTGAGTTAGAAACTTTCTCTCTGTTGGTTATGACTTGTCCTTATTTTGACATGTATTTTTAATAAATGAGAGAGAAGCTGGTTTATAAGGAGTCATCATGTTCAGACCATAGATCCTCACCAATTTCGGATTATTTTATGCCTATTTAATATGTTCTACTTGGGCCATGGGAATTTAGTTGGCAATGTCCTTTCCATCAGAACACTGACTAGGGAGGATAGATTTTTCTTAGTTTTGAGTTTATCACCTGTTTCAGGCTGGTGATTGGTATTTTGAATGTGTGGGTTTTGTTTTTGTTTCTGTTTTTTGTTTGTTTGTTTGTTTTTGTTTGAGACAGGGTTTCTCCGTGTATCCCTGGCTGTCCCAGAACCAGCTCTGTAGACCAGGCTGGCCTCAGACTCAGTCAGATCCGCCTGCCTCTGTCTCGAAAGCGCTGGGATTAAAGGTGTGTGCCACCACCGCCCATCTCGAATGTGTGTTTTAACATGGGGTTGTATGGAATGCTCTTCATTGACTTGCTTCTGGTGCCCTTGTTTCTTCTTGCAGCTGTGTGTATAAGTGTGTGTGCCAGCAGCACTCTGAACAGATGTACAGTGATCTGATTAAAAAGATAACCAGCCACTTAGAGCGAGTATCCAAGGAGCTGCAGGTAAGGAGCTGAATGCATTAGTATTTGCTGCTTTGAGTGTTTCTGCCGAGGTGGAACTAGGCTGTTGCCTGAACAGTTGGGATCTTGTCAATTGATTTAACACACAAATTTATAGTTTTTAGTTGGATACTGACTAAATGATCTAATCTTTAGAGTAGTTTGAAAATTTGACATAAATTATGGACCTTTTTATTTAGAATATACTTTATTCATAAACTGCTCCTACTTAGCACCATGTCCATGTTTCTTTCCTTTAAAACCTTGTTTTTCTGTTAACTTCACTACTTGGTGAAATTTTTTAAAAAATTCATTGTATTTTAACTTCTGTTTTGAATTTGTGTTGTCTTTCAAGAGTGAATGTTTTGCCTCCTAGTTTTTAAAACTTGCAGTGTGAATAGTTGAAGCCAGCTATTGGCAAAGTCTTGCAGATGATTTTACTCTCTAGGTAACAGCAGAAAACCCTCAGTGACCTTTCCCTCAGACACTAGTTTTGTGCTAGAGCCAGATCCCAGTTGGATTCTGGTGTGCAAGTAACAGAGTCTAGAAAACTCACTCCAGGGTTAGTGACCAGGGTTCACTCCAAGGTGAGGAACAGTTCCAAAAGTAGGATTTGTGTTTGACACAGTTTCTCGCCTACCTTGTATCTCATTTACATTTCATCTTGGTGGGGGTGTCAGTGTGCACATGCCCCACGGGCCCTTGCTACAGTTGGTTTTCTCCTTTCACTGTGTGGGTCCTAGAGCAAGCTCAGGTCATTAGGCTTGGTGTCAGGTTCTCATCCCTACATGCTGAGCCACCTCATTGCCAAGGGTTTTGTTTTCTATTTTTCCTTTTTTCTCAATTATAGCCAGAGTTACATTTTCTAAAATATATAACTTTGCCTATTAAATTATTTTCATCTTTTTGTAACTGAATACAATATGCTCATTAACATATATTTACATATATGTATATAATACTGCCTAGGTATCATGTATAAGTTATAGGTGAAACTCAAAAGCTGTTCGTTATGCTTTAGTTTACTTTTTAATTCTCGACTCTCCTTTCTCCCTGATTTCTCATCAAAAGGCAGCTTTCTGCTCTGGTATGTCTGTCCTGTGAACCTATCTATCATTCCTCCGGTTTCTCTCACTGTCCTTTTACAAGTGCTTTGCTGATTGTTGTTGGTTACTTTATGTACCTAAGTATATTTAGCCAGCTTTTGATTGATTGATCTTTAGGTAGCTTTTAAACTAATAACACTTTGATGAACAAACAGTCTGGTAAGTAATGTTATCTTGCTGTGCCCAAAGGTACCAGGTTAGACTCACAAGTTTTAGTCATGTCTGTGTCAGAGTCTGTTTCCTCACCCAGCTAATACAGCATTTCACATAACTAAACTTTAACTTCCTTTTAGAAAGGACTTATTAAAGATTAACACAAGATAAAAGTGCACTTCTTTTAGTATTTTAGTATTCTTTTAGAAAAGCTAAATGTCAGTAACGTTAAGGCATATATGATATAAAACCGGTGACTTTAGAGTCAGTATACTCCCCACTGAGTTTAAAAAGATTTTCTTTACATTTTTTTTCCTGAGGTTCTGGGACTCAGATTCTTGGGGTCTTGGACATGCTAAGCAAGCGCTCCCCCCTGAGCTGCACTAGCTCTTGCTTTCTTGAGTCAGTCTCAGGTGGGCTGCACCTAGCTAACATCTAGGTACGGTGGTGCCAAGTTGGCCTTGGTCCCTGATCTAGCCTTAGCTCCCGGGTCCTGAGATTATAGACACACCCCACCCTGCTAATCTTTAAGATGACTTATTTTGGAAGATTGTAACCAGTTTTAAATAGCTAGGTAAAGTAGGTAACAGCATGAACCTCAGACCCTGGTCTCATCTTTGTCACTCAGCAGTTGTAGGCCCTTTTATTAAACATGTTAACATCATCTTGTCAACTTTTTCAACATTAAGGTGAAGTAGTTTTATTGAAATATTTGTGTTCCCTTTATACTAAGTTGTAAGATCCTTTTCTCTTCTGCTTCCTGCCATGCAAAACCTTTCTCAGTATTACATTCATTTCTGTTAACCTATGGATAGCCTTCCTGGAATTCTTATCCAACTCTTATAATAATACAGAGCAGAGTAGAACAAAACAGACTTGTAGGTATTTGTCTGTGGATCCAGAGCCTCTTACAAGTAACAAGCCTATTAGGACTGTGGTTGTGTTATTGAATACTGTCTCTGTATTCATGCCTGACGACCTCTCTTGCTCGCCTGTGAGGCAGGGACTGCCCTGTTTTGTGTTTCTCTTTTTAGCCTTAATACCTGGCACAAATGTAACTCAGTTCGACTTACACCAGTAAGAAAGAGTATCATGGTCAGCTGATTTTCATGTTCTCTATAAGCTTACGTAGTTTTCTACGGGGCAGGACTTTGTGTTTGGATGGAGCATGTTATTTGCAACCTGTTTTTTATATTCTTGAGCCAGAACAGTGAGATGAGCTGCATTTGGCAGGTAAGGGAAGCTGAGCACTGCAGTTGGCAAACCAGTGGGCTGCAGGCATCAGCTTCTGTTCCCAGTGTGGCTTATTTATCCTTATTTAAAGGCACATTCTGTTACAGACACGCAGAGTGCTGTCTGAAATACCATTCCATATTTGGTGTTGACCTAAAAGCGAGAGAATTTTGTTTTTAGATTTTAATATATTAGTCTGGCAGACGTAAAAAATTTTTATGATAGCACCATTTTAGTGTTTTAAAACACACATGCCATACTCCCTTACATACACCTTTTTTTTTATTTTAGAATAGTGTCCTTTGCACCTCTTCAGTAACTTAAAGTTTGTTGTTGAATTGGTAAAACAAATAACTAAACACACTTGGTGTTCTTCTTGCTTATAACTTCACTTGATGCCTGTCTATAGTTTCTGTTATCCTGCCTAGTTTTTTCTTTTAAACTCTCTAAGTCCTGTCTCCTTTAAATGTCATAAGAAAATTGTGTTTTTTTTTTCTTTTCTGTATTTCCAGAGTTTTAGTTTTTGATTTACAAATGAATGGAGTAGTCGTATATAGAAAATTGTTTTTACCAGTTGAGCCAATAGTCTGCTTAGTGTTTATTTTTGTTGTTTTTGAGACAGTGTGTATGTAGTATTTTAGTATGTAGCCCTGGCTGGTTTGGCAATTGCTATGTAGACAAGGCTAGCTTCAGAAGAATCTGCTACCTTTGACTCCCCAGTGCTGGAACTAAAGGTGTGCACTACCACTGCTGGCACAGCTACTTAGTTCGAAAAGTTCTGTTTCCATTTACAGAAATCACCACGCTTGAGCTGAGGATGTGGATAGGACTTAGAACACGCCTGCTGAGTTTGAATTACTTCTGGTAGAAAGGTCACATTCACAGCCAAGTTGGAAGGCCTCTACTCAGCTCACTGTCTCAGGCTTAAGATCCCACATTCATCTTTGGCTCCTCTCTTTTCTCTTTCCCTTTGCTTTCAGGAGATGGTCAGTTAGTGGGCTATCACACTAATTGCTGCTTACATCCTGCTCTAGCACAGTCTTGACATGCTCCAAGCCAATATTTTCTTGTTTGCATTTACAACTCTTCATTCAGTTGAGTAATGTCTTAAAAATCCCTAACTTGTGACCATACATTCTATGGAATCCTGTAGCTCTACCAGTGTCAAGCTGTCAAGAGACACAGCTGAACCATATGGACCAGAAAGCAGAAAAACTGAAAATAAATGTTGGAAGTTTTAGACAAGTGCTGGGGAAATAAATACCTCAGTGGGAATTGTAAACCCCCAGGATCCATTTATATAAGCAAGACACATAATCCCAGTGCTTCTACAGGGAGACTGTCATTGTTGGTGAGTTATACGCAATAAAAAAAAAAAAAAAAAAAAAAAGAAAGCCACTCCAGGATGAATTTGGGCTTCTCAGCAGCCAAGGGGAATAGTCTCTGTGGGACTGAACTAGACAGCTACCTAAAAGCTCTTTTTATTGTTATACAGAAGGCACCTTTAGCAAGTCAGTTTCTGAGTACCAAAACTTCTTATCTGATCTAGGGACTGTCTTGAAAGGACCATTACCTAAGCAGTTCTCGGGCACACTTCTTAGTTTGTTAGTCCTGTCTCAGACTAAGAGATGCAAAGGCTCTGGAAACTTCCGAGGGATAGATAACAATCAGTGACAAAAGGTTACTTCAATGCTAGGTGCTATATCACTCCAGATTCCTGCCAGATAACAACAGTTCTGCTAAAATTCTGTAACAGGAGATGTGGAAGGAGTAGGAGAATCCTGGGAGACTTACCGGCCAGGTAACCTGACATACATCAGAAAGATGATTGTTGTCACTTCATGTTTCCCACCACCAGGCTGCTGGGCAGGAAACAAAAGTACGAGTTTCTCCCTTGGAAAAGGGTGAAGTCAAAGGGTCAAAAGGAGCTCAGGGTAGCAATCAGGGCCTGGCCTGATTCGGGCTGCTTGGTGAATATTGGGTAATGGAGGCTCTCTCAGAATTCCAAAACTAATAGAGGCAGAGGCGGGAGCCCGGTTTTGTCTTTGGGAATAGCCAGCTGCTTGCTGATGGGCACTGCAGTGGGCAGAGTGGCACAAGAAAGATAACTGCAGCCTTCTTGGCTGATACCGGTGAATGGTGGAAGGTCTCATTGGCCAGCAGCCTGTGGCTGTCAGCCAAGTCCTGGGGAAGTGTGTGTGTGTGTGTGTGTGTGTGTGGGGGGGTGTCCAGCAATGAATTCTTTGGGGAGAAGGGGAGCCTGTCCTTTCCCAGACTAAATGACAAGTCCCAACTGGTCGTGGTGAAATAGATGATGCTGGCCCCCTTTATTTCCTGTGAAACAGGGACTTATAAACCCTGGGACAGTGGGAGGGGATTTGAGGATAAATATGTTTGATTCTATGGGGCTGGGGATGCCAGGGATACTTGATTTACATGCAGTAGAATAGTACAGCACTATCATTAAGAAGAACATAGTACTTAATTATTCTGTGGGTGGGGGAAGAACTC